TATCTATTCGATCTTGACTAAATATATATTTCGTATACACCAAGTAACCATAAGGAGTACCAGGTATAGGTCAGGTCATAGTATATAAATTCAATACATCGTTTTCTAGTACAAAAGCATACTCTCAGATAGAACATTGAGTAAACCAAAACTAGAAACTTAAAAGGTTTAATCCATTTTATTAAACCAATACAACTTAAAGGACCTTAATTTTTAAATTATATAATACCTTAGTTTACACATCAGGGTTATATATATGTAATATCCGACAAATAGTTAGATGTGTGCTTTCCGCCTTACTTCCTGTTCCTTGTTTGGTTGTGGGCTTAGGGCAGATTCACACAGTTAACTATCTGTTCGATATTAGATCATATATAACTAGTGTAAACTAAGTGATTATAGAAGGAACTATTGTGGTTACTATTTTTACTAAAGGAACTATTACAGTTAACTCCGTGAGTACCAAATGAATGCACCAGCGTTATATACAATGAAGATCTAACAAACAATGGGATGTGTGACTTCCGCCTCATTCCCTGTTCCTTGTTTGGCTGTGGGTTTAGGGAAGATTCACACAATCGATTGTTTGTTTGATCTGTATTCTATATAACTTATATTCATTTAGTACTCACAGAAAGGATTGTAGAGTCATTTATACTTATCTTTCATCATATCATAAGGTATAGGATCTTCTGAGGAACAAGCGAACTTTTCTAAAAGAGCTTTCAACTTACTAATACATCACTTAAATACTTATGAACTCACCAGCTTAAATGCTGATCTACTCTTTCAAAATAATTTGTATTCTCAGGTAACTAGTAGACAGGTACACGTGCTGGGATTCAGAAGATGGAGCATAGTAGCTTCATGTCTTGTTTTTGTCATTTACTTGTGTAATCTATCTTATGTGAAACCAATACTTTGTAAACACTTTCTTCTAATGAAATGGTTGTTTATTACTTTGATTACTATGATGCATGTCTTGTGATACTAAACATGACGTCCTCCGCCCCCGAACGTTTCCTTCGTTCCGGTTTGGGGGTGTGACACTACTCTTCTCTATGCTCTACGTGTGCTCTTATCTTGCTCTTATTTCTTTACCTCATACTTCTCATATTGATCCCTCACGGATCCGTAGACACTTTCTTTCTTCTCTTGAATCCCTCATGGACGCCTTACCCTTAATCCCTCACGGATTATCTTTAAGTCCTTAGTATTACTCCATTACCTTGTTACACTCATGGAACCTTCTCTCTATCTTTTCTAACCATACACAATCTTTAATTCCCGCAGAAATCATCTATCTACGTCCCAAAAGGGATCATCTATCTATGTTCCCTAAGGAAGCGTCATCTCATTCCTGAAGGAATCATATTCTTGTCCCCGAAGGAACCTCTATCTTAATCCCGAAGGAATCATAACCTTGTCCCCGAAGGAACCTCTATCTCATTCCTAAAGGAATCATTTTGTCCCCAAAGGAACCTCTATCGCATTCCCGAAGGAATCATAATCTTGTCCCGGAAGGAACCTCTATTTCTTTCCCGAAGGAATCATCTTTCTACACAAATCTATTATGTGACTCGTCACATAATGCTTATCCCACGATCATTCTATCTATTTATCTCATCAAGAGATCTTCTATTACACTTCTAGTACTTAACTCATTAAGTAATTAGTCTTTGTTTATGTATAGTAACATGTAAGTATTCTACACAATACCAGTATGTCTATACATAGATACATACACTTATGATTATACCACATATAATCATTCTCTATCTCTATTCGAACTCTCTTAGGTATCCACACATACCTTTTCTTATCATCTGCTCTTACATAAGATTATAGGACATAATCCCAAACTATCTCTTCTACTCTTAATTGTATTACTCATAACACCCTTTATGTTTCTCTATATATCTCTACATACTTTGGTTATACACACATTCTCAGATACATGATCTTAAGTGTATATCTATCACACCCCCGACCACTGGCATAAACGTCGAGGTGTGCAACGTAAATCAGTGATCACGGTTATTGAACATACATTGAACAGTCCAAACACAATCTTCTATTATTACCAAGATAGAAATTACATTGTCGATGGCTATTGCAAAATCACGACACACGCCTAACAATTTTACGTATACAAAATTAGGCTACAACAAAGTATGATGCCTTTTTTATACAAAAACTTATAATCCATCAACACTTTTTAACACTCAACATGTATTATCCCCCAAACATGAAAAACATAAAAATCGGGCCATAGAAACTTACCTTTGATGCTTGATCGGACACCGCATCAGTGGGGCAAACTCCTCCCACATAAACGTTGTGTTTCGTGCAAAGTGTAGTGTTTATATAAATAACTTATTAAATTTAAGTTAACAAACCTTAACCAGTCCTTTCATGATGTTAATTAAGTGTTATATAACTTAAATTTTGGTAATGACACTTATCGTTTTGAGTCACAAACTATCCCACTTCATACAGTCTCTTTCAACTAGTATAAGTGAACAAAAACACTCGTATAAATCCTATTTCAATTATATACAGTAACAAAATAAATCTAGGGCCTATAATGAGCTCATAACCGAACTGTGACATGACGTCTCTGCACCAACACTAAAAATGGGCGTGCTAAAATTTCCACATCAATGCTTTGTTAACGTCGTGGGGAAAGTAGTGTAGAAACGTCAACACCCAATTTCGCCTCATCAGACGATTGTTGTAGCTAGCACCTGTTGGTGAGATGTCTACCCGTATAAATCGGTATCGTCGATCTATACCTGACGTTCCACGTTCCAAATGGATTAACGGTTAAAACACATAGGACTTTTACTAAGATATACATTCTTAGTGTAGTTACAAACATAGCCTACATGTCTTAAGAAATGATCCTAGTCCTTATAGACTTAGAAAACGAATATAGCTCATATATGAAGACATGCAAGTGTTGGATCCTAGAAATGTGTCTAGGCATCCTAATTTTAAACTTTCTGTTATAAAATTGTTGAATACTTATAATTTTGTTGTTTAGAAATAATCTTTGATTGAAGTCTTTTAGTATTTGAGATTCCTAAGGCTTAAAGGATTTCCAAATTTTATTGTCTGTTGTGACGAAATTTGGGCAACATAACGGTTGCCTTTATAACATTTTTCAGGTTTAAACCAATATCAAAACCAACAATTTTCATAGTAATCGATAAGTTACATAATTAACATGATACATAATTTCTTAAATAACGATTCTTAAAAATCTGGAAATCAATTATGCAATCATATAAGACGATTTCTTAACTTATTAAAAATAATTTATACTTTTATAATAATTACAAAAATATAATAAAATCGATTTTATGTTCATATTTACACAACTTCATAGAATATATAAATATTAGTTGATTTTTGATATTGTTCAACTAATTATCAAATAATTGTTCAAACTCCGCTTTTCAAACAATTTAGGCAATGTACTTTTATATTATACATTTTTAGTTTGAAAAACACCAACGTTATATATAATGTCATTTTATACATCCTTGACATGTTCATGCTTATATTTAACAATGATCATAATTTTATAAGTCATAGAAAATACTTGCATTTTTATGGCAATCTACTTATTATTTTGTGGTTTTTCTTAACCTTCATACTCATATTTCTCATTAAGGTAAAAGTATATCATCTTTTAGCATTCTACTTTAACCTGTAGGATTTATTGATGATTTATAACATTTTAGATTGTTATTTCATAAGCTTTTAACCAAGAACAAAGTATGATTCCTTTTTGTATACAAAAACTTATAATCCATCAACACTTTTTAACACTCAACATGTATGCTTGATCCGACACCGCATCAGTGGGGCAAACTCCTCCCACATAAATTTTGTGTTACATGCAAAGTGTAGGTTTTATATAAATAACTTATTACATGTAAGTTAACAAACCTTAACCAGTTGTTTCATGATGTTAATTAAGTGTTATATAACTTAAATTTTGGTAATGACACTTAGCGTTTTGAGTCACAAACTATCCAACTTCATACAATCTCTTTCAACTAGTATAAGTGAACAAAAACCCTCGTACAAATCCTATTTTAATTATATACAGTGAAGAAATGAATCTAGGGTCTATAAAGAGCTCATAACCGAACTGCGACATGACGTCTCTGCACCAACACTAAAAATGGGCATGCTAAAAGTTCCACATCAATGCTTTATTAACGTCGTGGAGAAAGTAGTGTAGAAACGTCAACACCCGATTTCGCCTCGTCAGACGATTGTTGTAGCTAGCACCCGTTGGTGAGATATCTATCCGTATAAATCAGTATCGTCGATCTATACCTGACATTCCACGTTCCAAACGGATTAACGGTTATAACACATAATACTTTTACTAGGACATACTATGACAACCCGAAGGATTCGGATCAAGCAAGGTCTAAATTATAACCCTATTACAATAAAACCTTGAAAACCAAACGACATAAGTACTTGTATATAGGTATCACTACTAGAAAACAGCCCTTTAATGACGCGCAAACAATGACACGCGCTGATAGAGGACACGCATTTGTGCGTGTCCTAAAAAATAATGTCAGTTTTCTAAAATTTGAAGGATAGAGGACAAGCAATTTTGTGTGCCCTAAAATTAGTGTCCAACAAAAAAAAATAAAAACACGGAGGGCACCAATCATAAAAAGTGTGTCGTGTAAATGTGTCGTTTTATATTTTTTTTAGGAAGGCGCGGTCTATGTTTTTTAATAGCACATGGGGGGAATGAAATCCCAAAAAATTAAAGCCCGCCTGATGCATTATTCTCCTTCTAAAATCCTCTACCAAAAAACCCTAATAATCCTTTAAGCAGTTCGTCTTCCTCTACCTCTGCACTCAATCTCTCTCTCTCTCTCTCTCTCTCTCTCTCTCTCTCTCTCTCCTTTGGAATCATATTCTTGAAAGATCGAAACCCTAATCGTAGCCCTAACTACAACATGTCTTACCAACCAAGATCTTCAAATCACAACGAAAGCGACGACCACCACGACAACCGTCGGCTATACAGCCCTTACCAAGATCTTAGAGTCCCCGCACAAACCCTATACAAACTTTTCACATCTCCTGAATACCTCTTTCAAGAGGAATCCATCGCTCAACGACGTTCATGGGGCGAAAACCTGACATACTACACTGGCATCAGTTACCTCAGCGGCACAGTAGTTGGCGCCGGGAAGGGTTTAGTAAAGGGCGTGAAGGCTTCTGAGGCTAGAGACACCATGAAACTTAGGGTTAATCGGATCTTAAATGCTTCTGGACATGCAGTTCGGACGATCGGCAACCGTGTGGGTGTAATCGGACTGGTGTACGCTGTTATGGAGAGCGTGATGGTTAAGGCTAGGGATGCAGATGATATTATTAACAGCGTGGAGGCAGGATTAGCGACTGGAGCGCTTTACAAGGCGGCAGCGGGCCCTAGGTCGGTGCCTGTTGCCGGAGCTATTGGTGGAATAGCGGTGGGATTAGCCGTGACGAGGAAGCAGATTTTGAAGAGATACGTACCGATCTGAGCTCGATCTGTATTCAATTTCATCTTACTACAAGTTTTGGTCTTTTGAGATTTCCAAAGGTGATTCATATGTAGTCTTTTATGATATTTTAGTATTTTACAATATTTTAGATGATTGACATAATTTGGCATGGAATGAAATACGTGATTTTGTTTTGTGCACTTGATAGTTGAAACCCTTTATGTTGTGTACTTTATACGTTTATGGAAGGGTTTATTCACAAATAAATCATTGTAGACTTTGATATGGGAATTGTATCAACACAGGTTTCTGTGGCTTTATTGGTTGATGAATATTTGTTCAGGTGAGAACACATATTGAATATTTATGTCCACTGTTTTCACTTTTGAGTATTCAATGCTCTTATTTTGTGTAGAGAAATGGTAGAGTACTACATAGAGTTTGATATCTCACTGTATGTTGATTCTTTCTTCCCTTCATAAACTAAAGTCCAGTTTTGATTTTGAAATTGTAGCGTTTTTCTATTTGAATTAGGATAGCAGACAGTGTTTGTTTGCTTATGTTTCTTTTGATTTGGCTTTGTTTATGTTTATAGAGAACAAGTTTCATGCTGAGAAAATACATCAATGGAAGTAGTCTCTCTGCCATTAGGTCGGGTCTGCTTGCATCTTATCTCCTATGGGACTTGGGTAATGTTGTTATATATACAATCATAAAACTACTCCCTAGTATTGTGTAGTGTATGGTGATTTGTGATAAAGTTGGTCTATTTATGTTATAGTTGGTTATGAACATAAAATTTATCATGTATGTATGAACATAAACTTACGACATACAGAAAAGAAAGTGTTGTAATTTTTGTGGGATACAATGCAGGTTGTAGAAAAGAGCTTCAAGGACTTAGCTTACATCCATGTAAATGGTGATTCTTGTTCTCAACAAGTTATTGTCTACATAGACTCCAAACGGGATCTATGTAGATAGGGATCATTTTGGCTCTGTTATTTGCATGACAGATGATGAAGAGAGGTAGTTACTAATTCTCTTCTAAAATTTTCACCTGTTGGGGTTTTATATACTTGATATATATATATATATATATATATATATATATATATATACATTTTTAAAAACTTTTGTGATGTTGGATTATTGCAGATACATGGGCTGTGAGGCTTTAAATTTATCATGTCCCAATTGTTGTGTCAGTTTTAAGTGTCCATCTGTAATGAGTTACATACAAACAACTATTAAGATTTTCATACAAGAATTCCATTTTTTTTAATTTTTTTTACTGAAATTGTATGTAAAATTTCAGTGTGATGATGAAACATGTGACTACACAACACGAAGTTTAAACTTGCGTGTTGTTGGTGAGTCTGAGAGAGGAACAGTATCCCCAAATTACCCTCGCTGTAATGGTCGTCTTGTGAGACAGTTTGGTTTTCTCAGCTATGCATGTGGATACTTATGAAACTGATGCTGTAAAAATGGTAAGGTTCGGTTTTAGATTTGGAGTATGCGTTCGTCTGTGTTTGCTTTGATTGTTCAAGTTTTTCTATTGGTGTATGCTTTTTCCGAATTGTAGCGAGTTTGATTTTTGATTATCTAACTTTTTCCTCTTTTTTTTCGTTGACTTTCTAGGGTTTGAACTTGGTGGTGGTTTCGATTGTTGGTTTCATCTGTTTGGTTGTTGCGGTGATAGGATTCGACGATCGGAGCGACGTTTTTTTTCGTAAACCCTTACAGTGAATGATGCAACGGTGAAATTTGAGATCTGAGATACAGCGGATCAAGAAAGGTATCATAGTTTGGCTCCTATGTACTACAGGGGCGCTGCAGCGGCAATCATTGTCTACGATATCACTAGCTCGGTAATTTAAGCTTACTAGAATCTTGTTCATACCCGGTTTCTTTTTGTGAAATTGAACTGTGGAATTTCATAGTGATCAGTGGATCAATCATATGGCATGTTAAACTTGGAATTGTGGTGATTTGTAGTAGTTGATACTTGATAGGATATAGATTGTTAACTAAGTACACTTAATTGAGTTCAAATAGAATGAGAGTGCATGTTTCTGTTAAATTTTTTTCTTTCTTACAGTAGTACTTGATATAGAACCAGGTTTGAATTTTTAAGGAATCATGGGCTAATAGGCATGCAATTATTAACTTTAGCTTTTAGGTAATTCTTAGCATATCTTACTAGGTTCAGTTTGGATCACTGACTTTCACTTGTGGCAGACAATTGTAAATATAATTTGATTTCCACTAACTTATGAATGCATGGGTTTTTGCCTTCTATTGCCTCTTATCAATTTCTGTACTGGTTGTTGTAACTTAATGAAGTTAAATGTTTTTCTTTATTACCAACATCTTGATGCAAGCTTCTTAGTAGTGATTTGGTTTCTTTTATTTATTATATCTTCTAGTTTTTCTTTTTCTTTCTTATGTTTTCAGAACTAATTTCACTTTCTGTTTTTCCTTACTAATTTTAGGATTCATTTACACGGGCTAAAAAGTGGGTTCAAGAACTTCAAAAACGAACGTGAGCAGATATCATCAACTACTTTGGGTTTCACTTCCTCCATAAATCTTTCAACTTTAATTCCATACAAAAACCACTAACCCTTTTCTTGGTTTTCTCCGATTTGATCTTGTTCACTTCTATATTTTTTTATCTTTTTTTCATTCATTGTTCAAAATCTTGAATGAAGTCATGTTTCATTGTGTATTTGGTGTAGGTAATCCAAACATGGTAAAACTGTTGCTCTTGTTAACGATGTATTTCATGAAATTGGTAAGCTTTAAAAACTAGCGCTTTTTAATTTAAATTATAAAAAAATTATTTGGCTTTTATTTATGAGATAATAATAATTGTGTTTGAAACAGCCAAGAGACTGCGGAGAGCTAAGCTTACTCAAAATCCAGCAGGAATGGTTCTTGTTGATAGACCAGCTGAAGGAACTCGTACAACATCTTGTTCTTGTTGTTGGCTCTTGCTACTGTGTTATTTAAAAGAGAGGTGACAATTAAAGATCCGATAACTAGTATTCATGCTTTGTAAGTTATAATCTATCTGAATTTTTTTAAAACTATTTGATAAAATGTAATAATATTATCTCCTAATAATTTCTCCAGCCTTTTCTAATCCAATGTCGCTTGTTTAATGAGGGTTCTGCTGTAAAAGGCACTCTTCTTGTCAATAAGAGGGTAAAATTTGTGATATTTCTTGCAACACTTATGCCATGATGACTCCTTGTCCAAAGCTGGTATTTATTCTAATTACAACACTTTGCTTTTTGAGATGCTTAATAATGAAAATTGATTAATTTAGGTGAAAGTATGTTGCATGTGATGTCTTGTTACTTGTTAGTTTACATTGAATCCTTTGTTTGAACTTGAGGAACTGTTTTGCTGGTAATTCATTGCAGAATTACATTTAGGGGGGATTCTCATTAATTTAATCATACATGAACGAAGGTCATACATACATACATACATAGATGGTTTTAGAAAGAAGGTCATACATACATACATAGAATAGAATAGAAAGTGTTGCTTTTTTTGTTTTAGAAAGAAGGTCATACATACATACATAGAACTGTTTTGTTTTATCTTATTCTTAATGTATAAATGGTTTTAGAAAGAAGGTCATACATACATACATAGAATAGAAAGTGTTGCTTTTTTTGGGAAAGTAGCACTATTTAACTCTTTCATATTAACTTTTATAATCTACATGTGTATTAAATTTTAATATATTATACAGGTATGGGTTGTATTGAAGCTTGGATTCCCTTCAATAGCACGCGGATCCCCTTAATACCAGTGTATGTAGTGTTAGGTAATATAGTTAGGGAAAACCTCTTAATAACAATGTACAATCGGATCCCATTAATACCAATGTATTATAATTTTTTGACATGATGTTATGGATGAAATTGATTGTTTTGGTATATATTTGTTTCCATATTTTTTTATTATGCGTAAATGAGTATCGTAAAGACGCGTCGTAAATGTATATTGTAAATGGTTGCTGAAGTTTATGACATGCAAATGCGTGTCATCTTCATTTATGACATGGGCTTTAATGATACGCAATATGTGTCCTAAACGTGTATCGTAAGGTTACGACACGCAAATGCGTGTCGTCTTCCTTTATGACAGGGGCTTCCTTGATACGCATTGCGCGTCGTAAATGCACGTCGTAAATGCGCGTCGTCTATAGACGACGCGCAAAAGCGTGTCGTCTCTCGTTATGGCAGGGCCTTCCTTGACACGCATTTGCACGTCGTCTGAGCGTTTTACGACACACATTACGCGTCGTAAAAGGCTGTTTTTCTAGTAGTGTATATATATACTTTGGAAATCATATTTATGGCAACCCCTTGAAGGTAAACAAGTTTTAACAAAGCAAGAATAGTCAAATATTTGTATAAGTGTATATATATGAGTATATGCATACTTTAAAACGCATGTTGCAAGTAAACACTTATAGGACAAGTAATGCCAAATGCTTGGAACATAAATCATGGAATTAAAACAGTGTTGTATAATCTTTAGCCTAGTACCCCACCCACCCTAAAACACTCCCAAACTGAAATCAACACCCTAGGACACCCCTTGACCGAAATCACACTTCTATATCACTTTAAGAACCGAAATCACACCCCTAGAGCACTTTAGGACCGAAAACACAACCTAGAATACACCTAAAACTGAAAACTATTTCATGGACTCACATAGGACCGAAAACTCAATGTGTAAAGCCCATTAGGGACGAAAACCCAACCTTTTGGGACCAAAATCCCTTCTTTAAGGTCATTAGGACCGAAATCACTCTTTTATGAGTGATTTAGGATGATTTCGGTCATGTTGGATAGCAAACACTTTCTTTTGGCCAAATACAACTTCATACTAGGATATTTTAAAGGGTTTACAGTCTAGAGGAGGAAACAGGCAAAAATGGTTGACTTTAGGATGTGATTTCACCCCCATTTCCAATGTGATCACAGTAAACCACGAATTATCCTCCAAATATCCATACATTACCCTTCATTTATCCAAGTAAACTTCACATCAATACCATTCATTTTATTTAAATGAGATTAACCTCATAAAGCCTCGCAATTTCTTCATTCTACTCCCTGTTAAGTTCCTCATTCTCTTCAGAAAACTATTCCCAAGTGTTAAAGGAATTAAGCCCCACGTTTATCCCTAGATTTCTTTGGTAAGTGTTTTCATAATACCCTAGTCTTTATATATGATTATATGTTAGTTCCACTATTTTTACACACATATTTGTGTGTTGATATTGTTAGGATAATAATCATTCTTAGAAGTTCATCCACTCCAACCAAGCGCCAAGCTCGAAATCTTTGTCTACTTATTTCAAATCATCCACCAAACCAAACCAAGGTGAGTTCATACCCCCACATTTTCAAGCTTTTTCATGTTTTAGGGGGCGGAATACAAGTAAAACTTTGTTTATCCCACAAATAATTTCATGTTTTCATCTTTATGTTAAAGATAAAATATTATTTACATAAGTTATGGTTTATACTGGTTTTTGGTATAAATATTTGTGATATACATATTGTTATAACAAACATAATCTATGTTATAAAATCATA